ATATTATATTATAAAAATATATATATAATATAATATAAAAAATATACATAATATATAATATATATATATTATATTTATAATATATATTTTTATAATATATACATAGAAACATAATTTACTAAAAACAAAAACTACAAATTATAAATTACTATACAAAAATTTATAAAATGATCTCGAAAAATTTCAATCAAATTTTAACAATTTAATATAAATTATATATAATAACAACTTTTGTTCGTTATTAAAAGTCACAAAAATTTGCTTCTAAGTTTGTTTCGTGTTATTTTATCCTATTAAACGTGAGTTACCCGATTTCATTCATTATACAACTATCTAAGACTGTTAAAAAAGAAGACGCAATTTTATCGAGATAGTTCATTAAGATCGATCGATATGAAGGAAGATTTAAGCGGCAATTGCTACAGGTGGTGGTTGAAGCATCGATTTTGTGGCGGATGATAATTTTTCTGAGACTAAATGAGCAATGTGAGATGATCTCTTCCAGACAAATTCGCGCGTTCTGTCGTGGTCATCTGCACTCTCCACTCGTACCTAATAATTAACAAATTGTCTTTAAATAAGTTTGGATAAAGATTTAAATTCACTTGGTAGTATCTTTTAATCAATTTTTTTGCTGGTGTTATTCGATCAAATTAATTATAATTTTACGATAAGAATGGATTAACATCTGCTGCTTAAATATCTTATTGTTAAGTATTTCGTAAGATTTATGATTAATTAGATTAAGTAATGATAAAGTATTAGAAATTTAAACATTAGCTTGATAAATGTAAAATATCGTTATTTTGGAGATTGGATTTGATTTATTATATTTAAACAATTTTGCTCGTTTGATTTTGAAAATTTTATTCGTTAAAGTATATTTATCAGAGTACTTAAAGGATAAGTGGTATGAGTAATAAAATTTTTAATTTGAAGAAAATATAATAATGTAAATATAAATTTTATCTTTAATAAAATTAACAACATTAATATATAGTAAAGTAATGATAAAAAATAAATAAAAAATAATAATAATTATAATATATAACTAATAATTATTAATATTATATATGTTATAGATACAATATTACATACATATAACATTACATTAAAAATAATAAAAAAAAATATGAAATAAAATTTTTTTGTTCCAATCTTATCGAGATTTTACCAAAAATTACCAAGAAAATCGAATTAAGAATTTAAAAATTCGTTGCATATATATACAGTTAGATTGCATGACGATATAAGTATAGCGATATGTATATTAATAATAGATTAATAAGTTTCAATATAAAATATGAGTTTCCAAAATTTTTACAATTTTTTTTTTGTGAAATCATATAGCCTTTATAATTTTATTTGTAAGATCATATTAGCCTTTTTTTGCAATAAAAGTTTATTTTGAATATTTATTTAATTTATTTAATTTTTATTTAATTGCAACTCAGAAATAGATATTTGAATGTATATCAATAAATTTTTTTAGAATTTTTTATACGATAAATATGCAAAAGTTACATCTGAAGATTTCAGTGTATCATTTAATACAAGAAAATAGTGTTCTTATTAAAGTTATAATTTACAGTAGAGATTTTGAAAATGTGAATCAATCACATCAAATATAAGACGTTAATTACACATTCGAATATTTAAAATGTTACAGCATAAATATTAACGAGAATGTAATTTGACAAGCATAGCATATAGCAACGATAACAGAAATTTCAAAATTCTAATGTAATTCATGCAATAAATTATTTTTGATAAAGTATCGTGTTTGCACTTTTTTGAACTTAATAAATCGCAAATATTATTTAGATTATGTAAATATAATAGATATAGTATATGTATAGTAGATATATATCATTTGACATTTGACTGTATTTTATTACATTATCGTGGAAATTAAAACAAAAAAATCTATACTATACTTATCTTCCTTTTTTTATAAAGAATTATCTCATGCTTATAGAGATTTATAGAATTTTTAGTCGTAAACTACACAATTTATCTACATTTCTATCTATTTATCTATATATATATATGTATATAAGAAATCTATTATACCATCAAAATACAAAGTATTCTAAATTATTTTCCATACACGTTTTTAAGTTTTAGATAGGTAAAAATAAAACTAAAATGTGTAACAAAAAATTAATAAATATATATTAATAAATTATATTAAATAAATTAATAAATATATCATCAAAAGTTATATCAAAAATATGAAAACTTGAAAAAAATATTTTACTAAATATCTTATTCAATCAATTTGATACAAAGTTTGTGTTAATATAGAGTAGAATAATTTTAGATGGATTTTACAGACCAAAATAAACTAAAAGAATTGGTATATAAAAATATTAGTTAAAGTTTATTTATTAAACAATTAAAGTTATTACATTAGATGGAAACGAAAAGTTTTTATTAAATTCTAATCTCGTTTCGTTTTAATATGAATTTCAATTTATAATTTAATGAATAAGTCTTATTTTTGTGTACTAATTTTTTTTTTTGATTTATAAAATTGAAAAATTTTCAATAGTGTCAAATATATTAATATCTTTTACAAGCCTTATATATAATTTTGAATATTGGTTCACCTCAGCTAGATAATTTTATGAAATTAAATTCAGATTCATTTCATGAAATAATGTATAAATTACAATATTGCATATGAAATTAAATGTGTAATAAATTCAGTAGTACATTGACAATATCAAGCATGTATCTATAAAGGCTTTAAGATATCTATAGAATTTATAATAATATATATGCTTTTATCTTCATCAAACATTTATGAATTTTGTTTTATTATATTTAAAAAAATTATTTTCAGACATCTTTTGACAGAATTTTGTACGAAAAAAAATTTGGGACAGTCAATGTAAACATTATAGAATAGAAACTTAATAATTTGACTTAATTTAACTATTTAATAATAATAAATTAATTTAATAATTAAACTTAATTTCCTAATTTTTATGTTATTAATATTCTGTTCTAGCAATTAATAATAAAGTATAATATACAAAAAAAAGACTTTTTTTGAGTTCAAAAAAGTAATTTTTTTCTAATTGAATTTTAAACGATAATTTTTTTTTATAAAATTTTTGTGTTTAAAAACTTTTACATACACTTCTTATATATTTAATAAAATTGTTTAATATTAATTTTCGTGTAATTTTAAATATTATATATAGAATGGATAATATGCTAAATTTTAGGATATAATTGAACAAATTAACAGAAATTTAATTTAGAAAATTGAAACTAAGATTAAAGTTCAAACTTTGTTACAAATGCAATCTTTTTTTTAAATCGGAACGATAAAGTATATCACGCGTCATGCGATCATGCGAATATTGATTGTAAGACAAGATTAACTAATTATTAATTATTAACTTTTGTACGCAAGAAATTTTGAATCTTTTATTAACTAGTTTAAAAATAAAATTTGTATAAATAAGTTTGCAACTATTTTTTTATAATAAAAATAAGAAATGTTAGATTTTATTTATGTAATAAAAAATGAGATAAATATTCATTATTATCACATAACTAAAGAGAATATATTTTTTAGGAAATTAGTTTGATTATTGTTTTAAAAATGATTAATTATCTAAACATTTAAAAAATGAAAAAAGTTTTATTCTTTTATAATTCAATTAAATAATCTTTTTTCATTATTCAATATACCTTAAACTTAGAGAAATAGCGAATTTAAAGGAATTAAAATTTATTTTTTTAAATTTTTTATTAATCTTTATCTTAATATTTATAAAATAATACTTTTATTATTTATTTTTTTAATTTTCAAT